AAAAAAAAAGATTACTCACTCTATGCAAGACAAACTAAGCACATACATTTTCCTCCGCTTCCTAACAAAATCCCACTGAAATGTATTCATTCATCCTGGAAGAGAAAGCAGGTGGGATCATATTGAGGTTTAAGCCAGTGCAGAGAAAACTGCAGTCCAGAACAAACACACATGCATACATAAGAAGGCTATAGCAATGTAGAAGACATTCTTGCCAGCAGGTCCTGGAGATGTACCAATCTTAGAAACAGAAGCAGAAGAACGATGTAGGACTCAAATCAGAATTATTGTAAAATTTATATGAAACAGCAAGTCAAACTTTTTACCACAGCCCTTTACACATAAAAAGCCTGGCAGTAATAGTATTTGTTTCTGGCTAAAACCACATCTATTTTGTTGTTGTTGCTCTTTTTAATTTAACAGTCTACCCTGGAAGCATTTGAACATCCTCATGTTCCTTAACGAAGCATTCGTTATTTGGGTACAGGGTGGAAAGAGAGGAGGAAAGAGGTAACTCGTTTCTTGCACTTCACTCAAGGACCCTCAAGTGAGACCCAACAGCTAGTACCCTGCTCACTTACAAAAGAACTCAATATTTTTTTTTTTTTTTTTGAGATGAGTTTCACTCTTGTCACCCAGGCTGGAGTACAATGGTACAATCTCGGCTCTCTGCAACCTCCGCCTCCCAGGTTTAAGTGATTCTCCTGCACCAGCCTCTTGAGTAGCTGGAATTGCAGGAGCCTGCCAGGACTTCTGGCTAATTTTTGTATTTTCAGAGAGACAGGGTTTCACCATGTTGGCCATGCTGGTCTCGACCTCCTGACCTCAGGTAATCTCCCAAAGTGCTGGGATTACAGGTGTGAGCCACTATGCCCGACCAAGATTTTTTTTTTTTTTTAAGGAAAATCTCAACAGAAAAAGATGAAAATAAACAATTGACCTGAAAGAAATAGAGCTACTTCCGGGAATGGGGGATAAATACTTAAAAGTTATAAGTGTAATCCTCAAAGAAATTCATGTCATGAGAACAATGCATCCATTAAAAATCAGTAACTAGAAACTGGGCGGGGGGGAAACACTGAAAAAAGAAAGTGAAAAAAACTGAAAGTCAAGGAAATGGTCCTCTTGGATTGATCCTTCATATATTTTTTCTTTTTATATTTTTCCTCTGTATTTGGAAGAATCTATCTAAATGTATGTGGAAGAACGTATCTAAATTCTGAATAGAATAGAGAAAATGTAAGAACATAATTAAAGAAATAACTGAAGAAAATTTTCCAGAAGTGAAAAATAGGACTCATAGAGTGCCAAGAAGGATGAATGAAAAAAGATTCACCACCTAGAAACACTCTGATAAAATATCACAGAACCAATGATAAAGAAAACAGTCTAATAAAATCTTCCAGAGAAAAAAGTATGATACCTGCAAAAGAAAGACACAGCATTAGACTTGTCATCAGATACACTAGACGCTAAAAAGCAACAAAATGTCTTCAAAGTTTTGAAGAAAACAAAATGATTGTGGACGAAGTCTATTCCCAAGCTATCATTAAATGAGCAGGAAAGGTAAAGGCATTTTCAGACATATGAAGCCTGTGGAAACTAAATTACCTGTTTAATCCTTTCTGAAAAAAATTGCTTGAAATTAGTTTTACCCCAACAAGGTGGGAAAAAAATCTGTGACAAATGAGGACATGGAATACATAAAGCAGTAGACCTAACCCAGGCATGATACAAAGAAATCTCAGAAAACAGGTATGCAACTGACTTGGAAAGCAGCTAGTCTAAATTACATGTGTGAGAGCTGGAAAGATAGCTTCAGGAGCAAAACGAATTTATTTTAGCAAATATAGTGCCATTATTAGGAAGCTAATAGGATACCTTAATTGGCAGAGGTAGAATTACATTTTTTCCCTGCAGATGCAATCATACTTACTGGTTTTATAGTGAATGATGATTGCATAATTATAATATGGCAAATAGTTGATAGGTTTTCAATGTTTAAGAATCAGCCTATAAATAAAGCATAGAAGACTTGTGTTGATTGATGTCTTATGGCTCCTTAAAATGTATAAAACCCAAGTGTAGCCCGACCACTTTGGGCACATGCTGTCAGGACCTCCTGAGGCTGTGTCAATGACATGTCCTTAACCTTGGCAAAATAAACTTCTAAATTGGTTGACACTTGTCTCAGCTACTTTTTTGTTTTCAGCCTCTATTACCTTCCTGAGGCTGCTGTAACAAATTACCACAAACTGAGCAGCTTAGACAACATAAATTGATTCTCTCACAATTCTAGAAACTGGAGGTCAGAAATCAAGACGTCAGCAGGACTATTCTCTCTGAAAGCTCTAGAGAAGGATTCTTCCTTGCCTCTTCCTCGCTTGTGGTGATTACTGGCAATCTTTAGCGTTCCTTGGTTTACAGACACATACTCCAATCTCTGCCTCCTCCTTCATGGCATGGCATTCTCCTTGTGTCTCCATCTGTATCCAAATTTCCCGCTTCTTATAAAGATACCAGTCATTGGATTAGGGCCTCCTTCGATTCAGTATGACCTCATCCTTACTTGAATTACATTTGCAAAGACCCTATCCCAACTAAGTTCACTCTCACAGGTTCTAGGGGATAGGACTTAAACATATCTTTTTGGGGAACACAATTAAACCCACAACACCCCCTATAATCAATTTTCCACACAGCAGCCAGAATGATCTTCACAAATGCACATCGCGTCCTGTCCACTCTCCTGCCTACAGAGCTGTGTCTCCCTGGCCTCTTTCTGCTTCTCAAACTTCTACCAGCTTCCTCTTACACTCCAGCCACACCGGCCTTCTTTCTATCACTCCAACACATCAAGCTCATTCCTGCCTCAGGGTCTCTGCCTGGAAATCTGTCTGGCTCCCTTCTCATCATTCAAGTCACAGCTCAGATGTCACTTCCTCACAGAAGTCTCCTCTGCCCTACGTACTAAAAGCAACACATCCCACGGGTATTCTCTTTCACATAACCCTAGTTTCTTCGCAGCACTTACCAATACCAGAAATTATTTTACTTAAGTCCCCTCTTACTTAAATATCAGCTGTATTGAACACAGATTCAATCACTGTAGTTCTAAATGCTAAAACAGGACGTCACAGAAAGTTTTCATTTTTATTTAGTCAAGTACATCTCTTTTCCTTCATGACTTAAGACTAGTGCTCAGTACAGAAAAAAAGAAAAAAAAAAAAAAAAAAAAAAAAAAAAGGAAGTTAACTGTTATTACTGCCGTAATAGTTTGCAATCATTTGTTTGTACAATCTCCCTGGCTAGACTGAGACCGAAGACAGAAACCCATTTATTTGCCATTTTACCAATCCCAGTGGAGCCGGGCACAGTGGCTCAGGCCTGTAATCCCAGCACTTTGGAAGGCCAAGGAGGGCGGATGGCCCGAGGTCAGGAGTTCAAGACCAGCCTGGCTAACAGGGTGAAACCCTGTCTCTACTAAAAATACAAAAATTAGGGTGTGGTGGCACGCACCTGTAATCTCAACTACTGGGAAGGTTGAGAAAAAGGAAAATCCCTTGAACTCGGGAGGCGGAAGTTGCAGTGAGCCGAGATTACGCCTCTGCACTCCAGCCTGGGTGACGGAGCGAGACTCTGTCTCAAAACAAACAAACAAACAACAACAAAAATCCCAGTAGTCTGGAACATATTAAGCATTAATAAGAAGTGCTGAATATAATTAGCGAATAACAATTCTGAACAAAGTTATTTTCTTTGAGACCATGGATTCCTTATGTTAAAAATAAATTTTTACAGACAGAAAATGGGACTGTTCTTCCTGCTTTTTGATTTGGTTCAAATCTGAGGAAGTGGGGGCGACCAGTCTTTAACAGATCTAGCAAGACTGTCAAGCTTTTCCAACCTCGCAGGAAGAGAATGGTAATTGCTCTAAAGCCAACACTGTATGTCCATCATATTGGAGATCAAAAGAGATAACGGCATTTTTTTCTGAAGAGGGGGAGGGGAAACCAAAAGTTTTTGTTTAATTTGGGGATGCAGTCAGATGTGACTTAGTTTATAACGACACATTCATCTGGCGCTGAACCTCCCATAAGGAATCTTATCGGCTTCCTTGATAAAACAACATCCCAACACTTTAATCTAGAGACGGAGGAGCCCCACTTGGGGTAAGAAATGTAGGGCTGTATGTAATGTCTAGCTGTCCATTCCACGAGAGTCTCCCACCATGCCAAATTCGGAGGCTCGCGGTATTCTATCGGGAGATGGCGGGCTACCTCACCCCAGGTTTCCCCTAACACAGAGTTGCAGTCGCTGAACAAACTGCCCTGCGTTAGTCAGAAGCTGTGAAGTAACGAGACGGCCACGGTGTACAGCAGAAGAGGTGCAGGGAAGCTTCAGGCGGGAAAGACAAATGCCAAACGCGGAGAAAAAGAAGAAAAGCTGCGAGAAGGCAGGTCAGTCAGGAACACCGCCATTTCTCATAACTCATGCTACTTCGAATTTTCTCACCTAAGGACCGCACCCGCACTGTTCACACTTTCTTCTTCCCACTCTCACTCCGTATGGGCCAAACCTCTACCTGCCCACTGGAGAGCAGCGCGAGTGGCTTCAGGAAGCGGCTGCCGCCTCCGAGACTCACCGGCCTGCCGTGCTGCCACTTCTACACCGAAATGGCCGGTTCGAGACCGCGTCTCCAGATGCGGCGTCCCAGAAGGTCCCCGCTTTCGAGCCCCACCGCGATGTTGCAGCGGTCCGAAAACGAGAGACGCTCAGCCGACGTCCCGGCCCCCGTAGGCGGAAGGCTCCGCGACCCCCGGCCCCGGATGTTGATATGTCGTCTGCCCCGGAAACGGCGACAAGAAGCTCAAGGGGGCGGAGGCGGTGTTACCGGGCTCTCCGGAAGGAGACGTGGCGGCGGTTGGGCCGGGGCTACCCGGGCCCTTTATAGTCCCGCCGCCTCCTCCTCCACCTCCTCCTCCTCCTCTCCTCCTAGAGCAGAGGAGGTTGTGGCGGTGGCTGGAAAAAGCGGTGGCGGAGGATGGAGGAAGGAGGAGGCGGCGTACGGAGTCTGGTCCCGGGCGGGCCGGTGTTACTGGTCCTCTGCGGCCTCCTGGAGGCGTCTCGCGGCGGCCGAGCCCTCCCTCAACTCAGCGATGACATCCCTTTCCGAGTCAATTGGCCCGGCACCGAGTTCTCTCTGGTCAGTGCCCTCACTAACCCCGCAGCCACCCCTCCTCCTGATACTAAGGGTTCGGCCTCTTCCCTCGGTTTTCTTTGCTTTTTCTCCCTAAGATCTTCTCTGCAGACTCTTACCTTCTCCAAGCCAAAGCTGCTTTTATGTCGCGTTCATTCATTCATTCGTTCTCACGTTATGTGGAGGCGTCCCCCTTGCTGAGCATTAGGGATCCAGCGATCACCTGCTCTCTACCTTTTTAATTCTGTCGCACTAGACCTTGCTTCCGAACACTCCCACCCTGCAGAAGCAGCTTTCGTAGAATAACGTCAGGTGCACTTACTCATCTTCCTTTTGGAAAATTAACTGTGGCTCTTTCTCCACCAGCAGACTTCTTTCCTTCAGTATTACACGGCACGCTGCCCACACCACAGTACTTCAGACTCGAGTTCCCTCTCTCGTATTCGTTCTCCCTCTGTTGTATACACACACGAACATACGCAAACGCACAGCTCCAAGGGAATCTTTTCCTTTCAGAGTTGTTTTTTCTGAGAGGGCTGTTTGGCCTGTGAGATGTTAACGACCCTTTATGCAGAATATGCTTTATAGTTTTCATGTATTACGACTGCTATTTGAGTCCCCAGAACATGAGCTTCTATGTTGTTTTCCTATAGTGAAGAACATATTTATAACCTCGCGGAAATGAAAATTCAGTCTCGGGGGAGTGGACCGCTGAAAAGTCTTCCTGTCCACGTGTACCTACTGCAGGCCCATACAAATTGTACTCTTATGACACTTACCATGTAATAATTAACTCATTTATTTCAAATTGAAGTCCCGGAAAAAGCAAATTTTTTTTTAACTTTTTATTCCAACTACCTTTAAGCGTTCAACTTGCAATACTTTATTATATTCTTTTATTACGATATTATTGAAACAGTAAGTGATACTATGATGTCAAAACAAGATGTATCAAGTTAATGGATGTTATGATTACCAGATAGCTTTCTATTTGCAAATGTTAGGGGTTTTTTGGTTTGGTTTGGGTTGGGTGTTTTTGTTTTTGTTTGTTTTTTGAGACAGGGTCTCAGTCTGTTGCCCGTCCTGAAGTGCAGTGGCACGGTCACCACTGGCTGCAGCCTCGACCTCCTGGGCTCAAGAGATCCTCCTGCCTCAGCTTCCCAGTAGCTGGGACTACAGGGAAACCCCACCACCCCTGGCTAATTTTTTTTTTTTTTCTAGAGTCAGAGTCTTGAACTCCTGGGCTCAAGCAATCCTCCTGCCTCAGCCTCCCAAAGTACTGGGATTACATATGTGAATCAAATGTTAAGTTTTTTTGCTTATTTTTCACATCTGGTTTGTTTCTCCAGCCTTTGTTCTCCCATTCTGGTTGTTCAATGGCTTCTGAATTTATCTAGGTAAACATTTTTCTGGGAAGTCAAATTTCTCTTTGTATTGCCACGAAATATTGCTATATTAAAATGCCTATGCAAAATTTTGTTATGAATCAGATATAACTTTAGCAAGCTTGGATAAGAATACTTTAATCTCTGTTATTGTATCCAAAGAGCACACTTGGAGTGAATATGGCAGATGTTTGAAGAATTATGTCATTAAAATTTTTTACTCTTGCACCTGTGGTTTTTTTTAAATTTAAAAAAACTTGCTGATACATAGCCCTGAAAACTTAATTGCCTATAAGTGAGCGATTAAAACTAGCATTTTTAGAGGTCACTACTAAATTGTCATTCCATTTTCTTTCAGTCTTAGCATATGCTACACCAACCTTTCACGTATCTAACAATTTTATTTCAAAAAAAATTCTTAGGCCAGGCGTGGTGGCTCACTCACACCTGTAATGCCAGCACTTTGGGGGGCCGAGGCAGGCGGATCATAAGGTCAGGAGTTCAAGACAAACCTGACCAACATGGTGAAACCCTGTCTCTACTAAAAACACAAAAATTAGCTGGGTGTGGTGGTGCACACCAGTAATCCCAGCTACTTGGGAGGCTGAGGCAGGAGAATCGCTTAAACCCGGGAGGCGGAGGTTGCAGTGAGCCAAGATCGCACCACTGCACTCCAGCCTGGGTGACAGAGTGAGACTCCATCTCAAAAAAAAAAAATTCTCTTTTAAAGGCTGGAGTGCAGTAGGTATTTATAGCATGATTATGCTCACTACAGCCTCGAGACTCCTGGACTCAAGCGATCCTCCTGCCTCAGCCTCTGGAGCAGCAAGGACTACACGTGGTCACCATTGCATCTTTGCTTTTTTTCTTTTAAGTCTGCGTTAGTTTGAGAAAAAATTAGAGATACTGTTCTATGATTTGGCACAAGGCCTATGTCCTTTATGTAAAATAAGCCACAATAGTCATTATCATTGGCATTTTTTTTTTTAATATTTCTATAATCTTAAGGCTTCCCTTGCTGGTACATTTAAATGAAACTACTGGCTGGGCACAGTGGCTCACGCCTATAATCCCAGCACTTTAGGGAGGCTGAGCTGGGTGGATCACTTGAGGGCCAGATGTTTGAGACTAGCCTAGGCAACATGGCAAAAACCTGTCTCTACTGCAAATGAAAAAATTAGCCCATCATGGTGGCACATGCCTGTAGTTCAGCTACTTGGTATGCTGAGGCAGGAGAGTTACTTGAACCTTGGAGGCAGAAGTTGCAGTGATCCAAGATCGTGCCACTGCACTCCATCCTGGGCAACAGAGAAGGAGGCTGTCTCAAAAAGAAAGAAAAAGGAAACTACTACCCTCCTCACCTGGCACTTGCCCATTTTTAATGGGCCAGTTGGTTGGACTTTGTGTGTGTTTGTGACAGGGTCTCGCTCTGTTCATTCCAGGCTAGAGTACAATGGTGCCATCTCAGCGTCATTACAACTTTTCTGCCTCCAAGTTCAAGCAATTCTCATGCCTCAGCCTCCCCGTAGCTGGAATTGTAGGCATTCGCTGCACACCTGTCTAATTTTTTTTGTATTTTTAGTAGAGATGTGGGTTTCACCATTTTGGCCACGGCTGGTCTCCAAACTCCGACCTCAAGTGATCCGCCCACCCTCAGCCTCCCAAAGTGCTGGGATTACAGGCATGAGCCACTGTGTCTGGCCGCTGGTTGGACATTGTACCTAATATGCAGCTGTATGAAATAGGATAAGGTCCTTTGTCTGTCTACTATCTGAAATTGGAGAGACTGGATTAGAAGATCTGAATTTTTTTAAGCTTTAAAATTACCTTATTAAATCATCCTTCCCATTCAGATATTATTGGAACTATTATAATCACTTACAATCTTGCTTTCAGATTTGCTTAGAAAAAGTATTAAGCACCAAAACTGTAAAATGGGGGTTGTTTGTGTGTTTTGGTAGAGATAGTTTCCCTATGTTACTCATGCTGGTTTCAAACTCCTGGTCACAACTATCCTCTGGTCTCAGCCTCTTAAAGCACTGGGATTACAGGCATGAGCCATCTCACCTGAACAAAAAATTTGTGAATTTTTTAATGTGTACATTAACTAGTTAATAATTATGATATTCTTTGCTTATTGATGTTTAGCATTGTTTTGTTTTTGTGTATATATTTTCCTTCTGAAGTATCACCTCTGTCATTATGTTCAATTATCACTTTATAGAGTTCATAGATTTCACCAAATTAAACCACGAATCAGTCTAATTTTCTGTCTACTTCTGTTGTGGATGTAGAATATATTTTACTCAGATTTTCCCAAGCACTACTCTTTGACCAACTCCATGGTTTATAGCATGTTTATGGCGTTGACAGGTTCTATCGACCGGTGTATTTTATAGCCTCTACCATTATAGAAGTTCTCTCATCCTCTAACCATCTTAATTCCTCCAGACCCACGTCAAACATTAGGAATTCCTCTCATGCCAAGATATTTTTAAAGTTCCTTAACTTTTAAAGTACCCCAGCTCCTCTGATTAGTTTCATTATATTAAAGTTTGACTTTATATCAAATCTCTAATAAAATTTGACTTTATGTCAAATCGCTGATTTCCTCTTCCACTGAGAATACCTTGTTATATAAAAAAAGTTTTTTATACTATCTAATTCTGTACATTCTGAGTTTATTATATTTTGTTTTCTTAAAGTAAGAACCTGTTTTACAAAATCAGAATCCTGATATTAGTAGATCAAAATTTTTAGAAAAATCACAAAAGATTAACTTTTTCTCCGTAATTGCTGTTACCAAAAAGTAAAGTTTGCTAAAAATATGTTTTGTGGTCCCAATAAGTGACTCAATATTTCAGCAAAGAGTTTTCAGATAGAATTGCTATTTGGCCTATTTTATTGGGAAAGCAGCCTTTCCTAAACTAATGAAAGACAATTATTTGCATCAAGAATTGTCTTCCCTTTTTTGCTGTGGTTCCAAACAAGCATTTTCTTTTTACATGGTAAGCATTTTGGAGACCATTTTGAAAGGAATTACAAATGTTATGTCTTATAGCAAATCGTTGGCACAATTGAATGTTTCTAAGAAATTCTTTGTAAGTTTAGCTTTGCAACTCTTACTTTCAAATCTCTTTGATTCCCTCATCATCTATAATGCTCTTTTTTTTTTTTTTTTTTTTTAAAGAGAGACGGGGTCTCACTAAGTTGCCCAGACTGGACTCAAACTCTTGGGCTCAAGCAATTCTCCCGCCTCAGCCTCCTGAGTAGCTGAGACACACCTGACTTACAGTGGCCTTTTAAACAAGTGTCCTTGGCCACAATTCAAGTCTACATAGTAATCTAGAAAACATTTGTAAAAGCTCATTCAAATATGTTAAAATATTTAAGAGCCTACAGAATATGGAGCCAATCTGTTTGAATTCTCTGGCCTCTGCTACCTCTAGGTTTTTTAACCTTGGACAAATTGTTTAAGCCCTGGACCTTAGTATATGTTTCTGTAAAAATGAGTGTAATGCTTCTTTTGAGGATTAATGAGTTAATGAATGTAAAACACTTAAAACAGTACTGTCCTAGAACTAATACAGCTAGTACTTACTGCTTTGTTTTGTTTTGCTGTCTTGCGGAAAATGCTGTAATTTGCATTTGTGTTTAGGATTACATTGGTGCCAAGTAGTGCTGGTTTTATTATAGTTAAGAGTTGTTAGGCCAGGGCAGTGGCTCATGCCTGTAATACGAACACTCTGGGAGATAGAGGCTGCCAGATGGCTTGAGCCTAGGAGTTTGAGACCTACCTGGGCAACAGGACAAAACCCCATCTCTACAGAAAAATTACCGGGGCATGGTGGCACGTACCTGTAGTCCCAGCTACTAGGGAGGCTGAGATGGGAGGATCGCCTGAGTCCAGGAGGTCAGGCTACAGTGAGCTTTGATCATGCCACTGCACTCAGCCTAGGTTAGTGAGAGACCCTGTCTCAAAAAAAAAAAAAAAGTTATTATTAAATTGAGAATAGAACAAAAGTCCTTAATAAGAAGAGGTTCTCCTTGCCAGGAATAGCTAAATAGTACCATAGTTGCACAGTACCATAAGAGGAAAGTGAAGAGATAATTGAATTATCTTAGAACACATATCATAAAACACAAACATTTCTGCCTTAGTAAAACAAGTATAACATTTTCTATCAGAGAGCAGAGATTTGTTTTTACTAAAATAATATCAGTTGTATTAATTGAAGTGTTTATTTGAATTCTGTTGATTCATACTAACCAATGTGAATTTGTTTGGTTTCATATTGTAAAAAGCTTTAAGGATAATTTTGTCAATATATGCCAGAAGTCGGCAAACTACAGCCATGGTGCTGTCCCACCATGTATTTCTATAAATAAGGTTCTATTAGTACATCATCATCCCTATTTGTTTACCTACTGTTTGTGTACTTTGGTTGCTAGAGTGGCAGAGGCGCAACAGAGACCATATGGCTCACAAACCCTAAAATATTTACTCTCTGGCCCTTTACAAAAGTTTGCTGACCCTGATATATACTAAGAAAAAGTTAAGTCGCCCAGGTGCGGTGGCTCACGCCTGTAATCCCAACACTTTGCGAGGCCGAGGCGGGCGGATCACGAGGTCGGGGTCGAGACCATCCTGGCTAACACGGTGAAACCCCGTCTCTACTAAAAATAGAAAAAATCAGCCGGGCGCGGTGGTGGGTGCCTGTAGTCCCAGCTACTTGGGAGGGTGAGGCAGAGGAATGGCGTGAACCCGGGGGATGGAGCTTGCAGTGAGCCAAGATTGCACCGCTGCACTGCAGCCTGGGAGACAGAGCAAGACTCCACCTCAAAAAAAAATTAAAATAATAATAATAATAATAATAAAAATAAAGTCAAGTCAACACAGATGATTGTAGTAATTTGCTTTTAAAAGGAATTTATTTGTGGATAAATTCATACATTCTCCAAATATGAAAAATACTGTATTACATTACTTTCATGTCCCATGCAACAGAACTGAGAGTACTATATATTTGTAAAGTGCTGTGGATTCATATATAGATGGTAATTGCTAGTAGCAGTAATAAGTGTTCAGTGATGGTGTATCTATGAACATTCATTGCCACCTCTTAGTGCCTTTTTTTCTTTTCTTTTCTTTTCTTTTTTTTTGTTTTGTTTTGTTTTGTAACAGGGTCTTGCCACGTTGCTCAGGCTGATCTTGAACTCCTGGGCTAAAGCAGTCCTCCCACCTCAACCTCCCAAGTATAATCACTATTTTAACTTCAATCTATTGCATTCCTCCTTTTTTTCTTTATACTCCAAACATTATTTTGTTCATTTATTTTCCTATTATGACACCAGAATAAAGCTTATTACCTTCATTTTGTAATTAATAAGTATGTTGATGAAGCCACAAAACAGAATGAAAGCATGTCCTTTGCAACAACATGGATGCAGCTTGGAGGTCATTATCTTAAGTGAATTAAGACAGAAACTGAAAACCAAATACCGTATATTTTCATTTATAAGTAGAGGCTAAGCGTTGAATACACACTCAAAGACAAGAACAATAAACACCGGAGATTCCAAAAGACGGGAGAGAGGAAAGGGTGACAAACTACTTACCAAGTACTAGGGTACTATGTTCAATACTTGGGCGACAGGAGTTGTAGGAAGCCTCCAGACTCTCATCTCATCATTGCATATAATCCATGGTACCGAGACCTGCAGCATGTACCCTCCTCTCGAATCTAAAATTTTCTCTCTTCTTTTTTTTCTTTTTCGCGCGCCTCGGCGCGGAGTCTGGCTCTGTCGCCCAGAGCTGGAGTGCAGTGGCCGGATCTCAGGCTCACTCGCAAGCTCCGCTCCGGGTTTACGCGATACTCTGCCTCAGGCCTCCCGACAGTAGACTGGGGACCTAGCAGGCGCTCGTCCAACCGGCCCCCGGCTAGTTTTTTTGCTACACATTCCATTTCTTTAGTACAGCAGAGCGCGGGTTTCGCACCGGGTTAACGACACGGATGGTCTCGATCTCTGACCCCTCTCGTGATCCGCCGTCCGGGCCTCCAACAAAAGTGCTGGGATCTACCACGGGCTTTGAGCCCCCCAGCGCGGCCGGCTAAAATTTTTTATTAATGTCATGTACGCATCACTTTCTCCGGCCTCCCTTTAAATCGCATCATGTTCGACCTGTTACAGTTCAGCTCTTCTTCCACGCACTTCTCTTTTTTCCCAGCTAACGGCCTCGAATTATTCACCGTGATCACACATTTCACGAGAATACGACGTACTGTATCACTTTTTCTGCTTTCTACTTCGGCAGCCCACCTGCGGAAGCGTTCTTGTATCCAGCAAATCACTTACTCGTCACTCCTGCCACTGCCATAAAGAAACACTATAAATGCACCTACTTTCCCCTTGTCGACAGTGGGGACTGAGGTACACGTCTTCTATACAGATATATCGCTATCCCCCTGTCCACACATCCTTCTACTGGTACCTTGTCACCACCATACGCTTTCCGCGTCAACCACTTCGAGTCAACCCAGCATTCTCACTAAGACTGCGCTCATTTCACGCATACAACAAGTATTCATCGGTTTCTAATACTTCTGCAATTCTTCTGCTTTCGCAGCTTCCCTTTCGGCACCCTCCCACCCTTTTTTCTCTTTTTTTTTTTGAGCGCGACGTTTACTCTCGTCGCACGCGCCTGGAGGGCATGGCATGATCTTGACTCCTGCCACCTCTGGGCCTCACCAGAGTTCGAAGCGTTCCCCCCCCCCCTGCCTCAGGCCCTCCAACACCGCCTGGGATCTTACAGGTGGCCCCGCCACACACGACCCACACCGACGCCCCAGCTAATTCTGTCATATTTAGTCGCAGAACAGGGTTTACACCAGCATGTTGGAACCAGGATGGTCTGGATCCTCTGACCACAGTCCGTCGATGCGCACCCATCTCAGCTCCCACAAGTGGCTGGGATTACAGACATGACGCAGCACCATGCCCGCTGGCACGCATTTTTAATGGTTTGAATAAAAATCTAACTCCACACTTGCTTTCTTTGTAGACATTAGAGTTTTAAAGCAAGATATAATTTTTAAATGTATATGTGACTTTCAAAATAAAGAATTGTTTATAAGTAAGTCTGTAGGTACCCCATGCTTTCTCATTACCTTAGCTCATGCCCTTATCTTCCTCCTAAAATGCCCTAACTGCCTCTTATCCATCCTTCAAGGCAATGACTTCTTTCAAGATGAAACAGGAGAGGCAGCATGGTAAAATGGAAAGGACACCAGCCTAGGAGCCAGGAGGCTGAGGTATAGGCTATAGCTAGCTGTGGAACCTTGAACAAATTTGAAACTCACTTCCTCCTCCTGCCTCAGCCTCCCGAGTAGCTGGGACTACAGTTGCACACCAACTTTCACTGGAAAACAGAAATATTAAACTCAGTGCTTTATTGGGTTTTGTTCAGATTTGAAATCTAAGACCACTATTTTAAGTCTCCTTGAGACACACACACACACACACACACACACACACACACACACACACACACGGCATTCAAATCTGAAATGTAAAAATACATAGAAAACTGAAAAGTACCTTAAAACTTTCCAATATATTCTGTAAGATTCAACTATTCTAAGGCTTTCATATCTAAGAATTTGTTTGGGTAAAAGCATTTAAAAATTCTGAAATAAGTTTATAAGAATTGTTCAGGAAACTGATACTTAAAAACCTTTTTTTCCTTCCATTCTTGCCTTGTGAAAAACAAAAATACATTTTAAAAGACCTTTTTTTAAAGAAAGAATGAACTCTATGAAAGATTATTTTATGGCTCCATATTTTGTACTTCAGTTCATTTGAAAGCAGTGGCATACCTTAGGATGTTGTTAAACATTTTGACGTTTTTTCTCTTTTATTTCTAAGCATTTGTGATTTGAGTAATGAGTTAATACCCGAACAGCAAAGTTGGGTGAAATTCTAGAAAGACTGTAAGTATTAAACTCCAATTCTTTCTTAGGAAGAAGAAAAGGATTATAAAGGCCCTAATCCAAGAGAACTTTTGGAACCACTATTTAAACAAAGCAGTTGTTCCTATAGAGTATGTATTTTATGTTTACTTGATGACTAGAAAATGATTACCAACAGCCAACAGACCTTTGAAAATACCGTTTCTTCTTTATTATGTTGTATCAGGTTTTTTTTAACTATTGTTATAGGTTTAGGGTTACACGTGCAGGATTGTTACATAGGTAAACTGCATGTCACAGGAGTTTGGTGTACGGATTATTTAGTCACCTAGGTAATGAGTATAGTACCTGATGGGTTGCTTTTTTTTGTTTTTGTTTTTGTTTTTATCCTCTCCCTCCTCCCATTCTCTAACTTCAAGAAGACCCCAAGTCTGTTATTCCCCTCTTTGTGTCCGTGTGTTCTCATTTTTTAGCTCTCACTTATAAATGAGTATTTGGTTCTCTGTTCCTGTTGTATCAGATGTTAAGTTAGGTATAAATCTGAGTTCTTTTTGTTTTTTTGCTTTTTTCTTTTTGAGAAAAGGTCTCATTCTGTCACCCAGGCTGGAGTATAGTGGCATGATCACGACTAGCTGCAGCCCCAACCTCCCATGCTCAAGCTGTTCTCCCACCTCAGACTCCCCAGTAGCTGAGCACCACCATGCCCTGCTAATTTTTGTGTTCTTTTGTAGAGACGAGGTTTTTCACAGTGTTGCCCAGACTAGTCTCAAACTCCTGAACTCAAGCCATCCACCCACCTCAGCCTTTCAAAGTGCTAGAATTACAGGCATGAGCCACTGTGTCTGGCTAGTTGTTTCTTAATAACATCTTACTCATTTCAATTGCTGTCTAGTGTATGCAGCAGATACCAAATAATACCAATAACAAATCATACTATTTACCAAGCTGTTTTGAATGTTTTTCAGTTGAAACTAAAGTTTTCTGCCTTTTTTTTTTTTTTTTTTTTTTAAATGAGACAGAGTCTAGCTCTGTCACCCATGCAGCCCATGCTGGAGTGCAGTGGCACGATCTCAGCCCACCGCAGCCTCTGCCTCCCAAGTTCAAGTGATTCTGCCTCAGCCTCCCAGTAGCTAGGATTACATGCATGCGCTACTACACCCCGCTAATTTTTTTGTGTTTTTTAGTAGAGATGGGGTTTTGCCATGTTCGCCAGGCTGGTCTCGAACTCCTGGCCTCAGGTGATCCGCCCACCTTGGCCTCCCAAAGTGCTGGGATTACAGGCGTGAGCCACTACACCCGGCCAAAAGTATATAAGAGAATTTTAATTTAAAATGCTAATTTTTATTTTTTAAGCTATGTAGAAAATTATCCCTAAGCCAGGTAATTATTACATACCCCAAGTGTATTCTAGACCTATTTACTTCACAGAATTCTCACACAGAGCTAGTGAAAATAATGAATAGACTTCAGAAATTTCACATTTTTCTGAGGCATAATTGTAAATGTCATTTAATGAAAGCTTACTCCGAAATCTTAGGGGAAATCTCAGCTGCTTCAAATATCAAAAAGTAATTCAGCTGAGTTATGTGGCTTTTGTATATTGAAACATATCCGTCTTTCTTAGATTGAGTCTTATTGGACTTATGAAGTATGTCACGGAAAACACATTCGGCAGTACCATGAAGAGAAAGAAACTGGTCAGGTGTGTTTTTCTTCAAAATATTATGAAACATTATAAGATGAGAACTTGAATAATGAGATTGATAGTTTTAAAGTTGTATCCTTAAAAATGTCTTTGCAAAATACTTAGTATATTTTTATTTTACTTTTCAATATAGAAAATAAATATTCACGAGTACTACCTTGGGAATATGTTGGCCAAGAACCTTCTATTTGAAAAAGGTTGGTGTCTACCGAGTGATTTGACAGTAATGCTGGAATTTGGTTTAAAATATATGTTCAATTGGAATTTTAAGATGGTTTTTTTTTTGGACAGTTCTGTGAATTTTAAATACTGGATAGTTTTGAACTGATCCCTTGCAAACTTTTGAAGAAGTCTTTGTTTTACCTTTTTCTTTTTTTTTTTTTTGATGCAGAGCTTCTTGTCCACCCAACTGGCATGTGCAGTGGCATTGAACATAGCTCCATTGCAGCCTCGACCTCCTGGGCTCAAGTGATCTTCCTGCCTCAGCCCCCCAAGTAGCTGGGACCACGGGCACATGCCACCATGCCCACTAATTTTTGTATTTGTTGTAGAGATGGAATCTCGCCATGTTTCCCAGGCTGGTCTCAAACTCCTGGCTCAGGCGATCCACCCACCCCAACCTCCCCAAGTACTGGGATTGTATGCATGAGCATGAGTCACCATGCACAGCCTAAAAGCTTTACTAAAATAAGTAAGAAAAAAACATGTTTATCAAAGCAGAAAATAGTGAAAACAATGTCAGGTGCATGTTAGTGTTATATTTATATAGTGTTAGTCTTCTGCTTGGTTTAAGCCAAGTTATTATATGTAGAAATAGATGTATCTCTCAAATGGTGATATATGTTTATTCTATATTCAGATTGGTCAACTAATTTAATATTAAATTTTTCACTGAGATAAAAATACTTCAAAAGAAAGTTGTTGTGGCCAGTTTTCTGCCTGAAATAGAGTATTTCCTAGGTAAAGATTAAATATGACTGTCCTTTCATACAAAACCATTTCAAGGAAACTAGCTTTAAAGTAAAATCGTATGTGCTTTAGACCTTCTTTAGAAGGAAGTTTAAGGTTACAAAGGTGGTTGAAAACTTAAGTCATTTGTATCACATATGCCACTGCTCATTCTTTACACTTACTTTATTCCACAGAACGAGAAGCAGAAGAAAAGGAAAAATCAAATGAGGCAAGTGACAGATGTTGCTTTTTTTACTCTTAACACTTAGTGAGGTATGAATTTATATAACCTAACTGACAGAATATAGCTTTGTGTTCTTATTCTTCATCTGTCAAATACCTCAAAGGATTGAGTCAAAGAACCTTTGCAGTATATTCGTCTTTTCTGAGAAAAGTTACACTGTGGTCTTTCTATTTACTCTTAAGATTATACAAAAATAAATCTATCACTGATGTGTCTGGGAAAGATTCTGTTATAGCATTATATCACTTCTGTGCTTAGCAGTGGTTCCCTCTATGTAACACTTGAAACTGTTAAGAGGTTTTTGCATTTTTTTCTCTTGTTTGATCCCCCTCTCCTGTGGGCAAAACGGTTAAACTATAATATAAATAACAAACTACCAAACTGCAAGCATCTTAAAAGCAGGGACTGTCTTTTATCTGTTTACCCCACAGTACCAAGCAGAGTGTTAGACATATTGTAGGCACTTCATAAATGTTAATTGAAAGAATGGATAAATGATGTCTGTAACATAGGGTTGTTTAAAAAGAGTAATTCCTCAGGAAACCTAATCACAATTTTTAAATCCCAAAAATGTTTATAGAGTTTTTTAAAAAATAACTTATTAATAGAGGATATTTCCATAAATGGCTTAATACCATACTGAGACTTTTTTTAGAAGTAAAGTAAAATGGCAAAGGCCTTGAAAATTACTTAAAAGTGATGCCTATAACTTAAAAGGGTAGCTTTGGAGAGACTTGATAAGCTAAGCATACACACACATAGCATTGCTGTTTTAAAAGATTTTAATTTTACAGACTACCTTTGAGATTAAAATAGTTATTTACTGTGACTCTGGAAGACAGCAAAAGATGGAATTCAAAGTGTAAAATGATAAAGGAAGAGGAAGAAAATGGTAAGGGAAGAAAACTACTTTTTGAGCCCCAGTTTATAAGCTAGACACTGCCAGACATGTAACAAAAGCTAATGTTTAATTCTTCCAAAAACCTTTTAATATACAGTCATGAATTGCTTAACAGTGGAGGTGCATTATGAGAATTATGTGGTTAGGTGATTTTATTATTATTGTGCGAGCATAATAGAGTGTACTTACACAGACCTACATGGTATGTATATTTTTATTTATGTTTTTTTCCCATGGAAAACCAAGTTCTCATTACCATTACTGAATAGCAGTTATTTCTGCTACCGCAATGCAAATATCAAATGCAATATCTCAGATTTCTGTATATGCTCCATTATAATCTTATGGGGCCACTGTCTTATATAAGGTCCATTGTTGACCAAAACGTCATTATGCAGTGCACGACTGTATATTATTATTCTACTTTTACAAATGACAAAAACTGAAATTTATTCAAAGTCATAAATCTATTAAATTTAAAGCTTGGATTTGAACCCAGGATTTTCTAATTTTAGACACTGGCTTAAAAATCACATACATACAAGGAAATCTCAAAACCTTTTTTCCTGAAAACATTTATTTATTGCTGGTTTTGGACATAGTGCTGACAGGGTACTAAAGTGATAGAAGATGAGATCCCTGCCTCCAAAGAGCTTGCTTGGAGATACTATAAACAGTGACTTTTTTAAAGTTCTTACAGTAGATTTTTCTTGTGTTTATGTAGAGAAAAGTATGGGAGCTAACTTGTTAGTGATCCTTGTCTTCTCAGGTTCTATCCTTTATTCCTTCATTCCATGAAAATTTTTTAATTTGTCTTTTGCTGGCCTTGAGTAGATTTATATAGGAGTTTACATGCTGGCTAGTATTGCTGTTAATATGAAAAACGGGGAAGAAGAGTAAGCAGATTGATGAACCAGTCAGCACTGTATTTAAACTTCTGTTTTAGAATACAGTGTTTTACTATACAACCCTATTTTTTGGCAAATCAGCCTTCAGACCTGTCGAATCTAAACTGTAACATTCACCAAGAGTTTAGAGAAGAAAGCTCTGAGCAGCCCAGTATAGTAAGTTTCTATATTTTATCTTAGTCTCTTTCTTTAGAACTGTTGAGAATAATTCATATTAATCATTATTTTGTGGCCCTTTATATAAATGTACTTTTACTTAACATGTTAATTTTGGCACCAAATAATCTTTTTGCTGTATTAAACTAGCTCTGAAAATACATATTTGCTCAAATAAAAACTTATGAATCAAAATAATATTAGAGGGAGAACTTAAAATATAGAAATATTACCTTTCAGTTAATAAGTAAAATGTATAGTTTTCTTCCTTTCAGAATAATAAGTTCCTCTCCCATCCTTAGTCCCATTTCCATGTCTAATTAAAAGTCTGTCTTATACTCTTTTTTTTAAGATTCCCACTAAAAATATCGAAGGTCAGATGACACCATACTATCCTGTGGGAATGGGAAATGGTACACCTTGTAGTTTGAAACAGAACCGGCCCAGATCAAGTACTGTGATGTACATATGTCATCCTGAATCTAAGCATGAAATTCTTTCAGTAGCTGAAGTTACAACTTGTGAATATGAAGTTGTCATTTTGACACCACTCTTGTGCAGTCATCCTAAATATAGGTAGGATGTGCATTTAATATTTTAAACATAAAATGCACACATGCTTTAAAGTGTTCTGTGCATAGCTTTAATGCTTTGTTCCTACTGAATAGGTTCAGAGCATCTCCTGTGAATGACATATTTTGTCAATCACTGCCAGGATCGCCATTTAAGCCCCTCACCCTGAGGCAGTTGGAGCAGCAGGAAGAAATACTAAGGGTGCCTTTTAGGAGAAATAAAGAGGTATGAGAATTGTCTAATGATAGCTTTTTAGTGCTTCATTTTTAAAATTTCAGAGCATATGTCAATATTTTAATGATTTCTGTAGTATAATAGTAGTAATTTGTTTTACTGGCCCAACCTTTTGAATTTCATTTTTCATTGATTTTAATCCTTTTCCTTATTCTAGTACTACTCAAGCTATTTTAATATTCTCTTATATTCATAATTTTGTATTTTAAAGTTTGACATCCTACTCATTATAATTTAATTTTTAGGTATTTGTCCCAGCTAACTCTCTTGAAAAAATAGACTAAAACTCGATCTGTATCTCCTAATACATTATTAATTCTTCAGCTCATTGCTGCCCTTTTAACCACTTCTGTGCACTGCCTCCCCAGTTTAATATACTGTCTTCCATTTTCATCTGCCTACTGGGCATAGCCATAAACATTTTTAATAATCTCACACTCATCATTTTTTTCTCTTTCATGCTGACCCTTTTCTTGCCTTCTCCTGTGTTCTACCCAATTGACCAATTAGAAACCTAAGTCATTTTTCTTACCTGTATCTCTTCATTTATCTCTAACTCTAATCATTCACTAAAAGGCATCAGTGTTATCTTCTAAAGGCTTTTCAAATCCATCCTGTCATTAGTTCAGGACCTCATTATTTCCTGGAACCAGAAACTTGTCTCTTAACACATCCCCTTTCTAATTCTTCCCACACAGCTGATAAAATGCTGTTTCTGAAATCACCCTTTGATTATGTGTTTAATCTCTTGGTAGTTAACACATAATACATTTCAGGATAGAATCATCACTCATGTAATACAAACCCCTTTGTGGTCTGACTTCAGCCTCATCTTTCATCACCATTCCCTTTATCCCAGCTGTTTTGAACCACTTAGAGTTTCTTAAAAGTACCACGGAGTTCTGCTCTGTCACCCAGTCTGGAGTGCAGTGGCGTGATCTAGGCTTACTGCAGTCTCCACCTCCCGAGTTCAAGTGATTCTCCTGCCTCTGCCTCCCAAAGTGCTGAGATCACAAGCGTGTGCCACCACACCCAGCCCTCCTTGACTTTCAGCATACTGTTTTCTTCTTCTCTTGCATTGTCTCCTCCCACCCCTTCTGCTCATGAACTTCTACTTATGCTTGAAGATGTGATTCCAATGTTACTTCCTTTAGAAATGAGCCAAAACTTCCAGTGGATTAACCCAGAAAGAGATAACTACTTCCTCTTCTGTGGTCTTGTATTTCATTCAGTCCTCCATCATAGCACTTACATGGCTAAGACTGGTTGTTTTACCTATGGGTGTTACATTAAACCAGAAGGCAGAGGAAACTAATACTTGGCTGCAAGGCTTGTTTCTTCCCTTCCTCTTGAGTACTTTTGCAAAAGTATTACTGGACTCTCTGTGGATGTTGTGACCAACACTGTCATTCTGATGGGAGGAAAAGGTGATTAATTCCACAGTTTAATTTGAAATGCTATTTTAAAAGATTTGGGCTAGAATTTTCTTCTGGTCTTCCCTTTGATAGTAAAGTATACTGGCACATACTTAAAAGTTAGCTCAATCAAAATGCTTCATAAATCCCAGCTTTCATTACTCTTCGAGGAAAAAATGCCAGTTTACTTCTCTTTAAATAATGTGTTTAGTCTGGGCTTGGTGGCTCATGCCTATAATCCCAATACTTTGGGAGGCTGAGGCAGGAGGATCGCTTGAAGCCAGGAGTTGAAGACCAAACTAGGCAACTAAAACCCTGTCTCTACAAAAAATTTTTAAAAATCAGCCAGTGATATAAAAGTCATGATAGCATATAGCTGTAGCAGCAGGCTGAAGTGGGAGGATCACTTGAGCCCAGGAATTCAAGGTTGCACTCAACCTGGGTAAAAAGGGTAAGACCCTATCTCAAAATTAATTAATTAATGTGTTTAATCTGCCAGTCGAGAAAAATTGAATTTTTTTAACCTACAGATGATAATGCTTTAAAAATATTTAGCAGAGGCCAGGCACATGGCCCACGCCTGTAATCCCAGCACTTTGGGAGGCTGAGGCAGGCAGATCACTTGAGGTCAGGAGTTCAAGACTAGCCTGGCCAACATGGAACCCCATCTCTACTAAAAATACAAAAAAATTAGCCAGGCACGGTAATGCATACCTGCAGTCCCAGCTACTTGGGAGGATGAGGCACAAGAATTACTCAAACCTGAGCAGCGGAGGTCACAGTGAGCCGAGATTGCACCACTGCACTCCAGCCTGGGTGACAAAGTAAGACTCCACCTCAACAAAAAAATAAAATAAAATAAAATTAAAATACTCAGCATTTTTTTTTAATTTCTAATTTTTGTGGTACATAGCAGGTATATATATTTATGGAGTACATGAGATATTTTACATATACTCTTTTGTTGTTGTTGTTGTTGTTTTTGAGACAGAGTCTCACTCTTTCCCCTAAGCTGGAGTGCTGTGGCGAAGTCTTGGCTCACTGTGGCACGATCTTGGCTCACTGTAACCTTCATATCCAGGGTTCAAGTGCTTCTTGTGCCTTGGCCTCCTGAGTAGCTGGGACTCTAGGCATGTGCCACCTTGCCCAGCTAATTCTTGTTTTGTTTTAGTAGAGACGGGGTTGTGCCATGTTGCCCAGGTGGGTCTCAAACTCCTGGCCTCAAGTGATCTGCTTACCTCAGCCTTCCACAGTGCTGGGATTTCAGGCATGAGCCACCACGTGTGGCCGGGTACGTGAGATACTTTGATACAGATATGCAATGCATAATAATCACATCTTGGAGAATGAGGTATCCATCCCCTCAAGCATTTGTCCTTTGTGTTACAAACAATCCAATTATACTCTTTTAGTATTATTGACTATAGTCACCCTGTTGTTCTATCAAGTGGTAGGTCTTATTCATTCTAAGGGTTTTTTTGGTACCCATTAACCATCCCCACCTCCTCCACAACCTCCCACTACCCTTCCCAGCCTATGGTAACCATCCTTCTACTCTCTATCTCCATGGATTCAATTGTTTTGATTTTTAGATCCCATAAATAAGTGAGAACATGGGATGTTTTTCCCTGCCTGGCTTATTTAACTTAACATAATGATCTCCAATTCCATCCATGTTGTTGCAAATGACAGGATCTAATTTTTTTTTTTTTTTTGGAGATGGAGTCTAACTCTTTTGCCCAGGCTGGAGTGCAGTGGTGCCATCTCCGCTCACTCCAACCTCTAACTGCCGGGTTCAAGTGATTCTCCTGCCTCAGCCTCCTAAGTAGCTGGGATTACAGGCGCCTACCACCATGCCCAGCTAATTTTTGTATTTTTAGTAGAGATGGGGTTTCACCATGTTGGGCAAGCTGGTCTCGAACTCCTGACCTCAGATGATCTGCCCACCTCAGCGTCCCAAAGTGCTGGGATTATAGGCGTGAGCTACCACACCCAGCAACAGGATCTTATTTTTATTTATGGCTGCATAGTACTCCATTGTATATATGTACCCCTTTTTTAAATAATTTTTTTTAATAGAGAAAGGGTCTCGCTGTGTTGCCCAAGCTGGTTTCAAACTTCTGAGCTCAAGCACTCCTCCTGCCTTGTCCTCCCAAAGCGCTAGGATTACAGGTGTGAACCACTGCACCTGGGCAACCCTACATTTTCTTTATCCATTCATCTGTTGATGGACACTTAGGTTGTTTCCAAATGTTGGCTGTTGTGAACAGTGCTGCAACAAACATGGAAGTGCAGATACCTCTTCAGTATACTGATTTCCTTTCTTTTGGATATAGACCCAGCAGTGGGATTGCTGGATCTTACAATAACTCTATGTTTAGTTTTTTGAGAAAGCTCCAAACTGTTCTCTATAGTGTTTGTACTACTTTACATTCCCACCAACAGTGTACAAGGGTTCCCTTTCTCCACATCCTTGCTAGCATTTCTTATTGCCTGTCTTTTGGATAAAAGCCATTTTAACTGGAGTCAGATGACATCTCATTGTAGTTTTGATTTGCTTTTCTCTGATGATCAATGATGTTGATACTTAGTAGTCTTTAGGATACATGTGCCATATGAAAATCTGTTTTTTTTTTTTTTTTTTTTTGAGGCGGAGTCTCGCTCTGTCGCCCAGGCTGGAGTGCAGTGGCGCGATCTCGGCTCACTGCAAGCTCCGCCTCCCGGGTTCCCCGCCATTCTCCCTGCCTCAGCCTCCCAGTAGCTGGGACTACAGGCGCCGCCACCACGCCCGGCTAATTTTTTGTATTTTTAGTAGAGACGGGGTTTCATTGTGTGTTAGCCAGGATGGTCTCGTCTCCTGACCTCGTGATCCGCCCGTCTCGGCCTCCCAAAGTGCTGGGATTACAGGCCTGAGCCACCGCGCCCGGCCTGAAAATCTTAGTTGATACTGTGGGATGAGTAGTTACTTAAAACTGATCATCTTTATTTCAGAATCACTTTTCTATAAATCTGTTACACATAACTTTTCTTTTGAAAATGTGTATTTGGCATATGGTTTGCCTCTTAAGTGTGAGGTCAGCGTTTACCATACAGATAAAGAATTTTTTTCTTTTATAAACAAAAATACAAATCTGGCTATCAGAGTTTTGGTTTGATGTTCTGCCTATTAATTGAGAGATAACTGGACTATTAGCAGTCCATTTAATGAATTTTCTACTCTATTATATAAACTACCATCCTATTTTTATTAGAATAATTTTCCTTAAAAATGAAAATGGATGTTCTGTACAGAAGTAGTAATAAAAGGTCATGCTTCTATTCTTGCTACCTCTTCCCCTTATCTCAGCTTCTGGTTTCACTATGCAGCATTATTGTTTTTCTTCATTAACCTTAACAGAGGGTTCGTGTAACCCCAGGTTATTAGTTTAGTCTGTTAGACCCTCACTCCTTTGGAGTAATGGCTATATTTGCTTGATTTTTAATACTGAGCACCTAAAATAATGCCAAAATATAGTAGGCTCTGAATGTGGAAAAAGATATACAATAAAGTTCAAAGACCTTTCAAAAAATAAGACAACATCTCGACAGTCCTTGTTTTTCCTAATATTGGGAGGAAGAGAGAATAAGTTCATTGCTTTCTGGAGTAACTGTCCACTGACTCCTACAAGCTGAAATAGAAGCAAAAGAACCATAGTTGGTTAACGGTAACTACAGCAAGTGAGAAAGGAGACATAGTATCCACCATATATTTATTGGGAACCCATGTACTATCTAAATTTTTATAAATTATTCATTTATAATAGGTGCACTCACTTTTTAAATTCTAGTCTAGATTCATTTCCTTGCCAGTCAATACCCATTTAACCACCAGATCCTAATGTATTAACCTCTTTAATAATAGCTATCCTTTTCTCTACATCCAACCCTGTCACTCCCTTACTTTAGATTCTCTTCATCTCTCACCTGGGTTACTGTAACTCCTAACTTGACTCTCTCCCTCTAGATTTGTCCCTACTATTCCTTCTTCCTTGCCACTGCTGAAGTAATACTTAAAAATATCATCACAGCACATCTTCGCCTAAATCCTATAAAATAATGTCCAAATATCTCAGCATTTACTTTTCTACCATATATACTAAAAAATATCATCACAGCACATCTTTGCCTAAATCCTATAAAATAATGTCCAAATCTCTCAGCATTTACTTTTCTACCATATAGCACCTGCTTATCTCTTTAGTTTTAAATATCACACCCCCACATCTTTGGTTTTACCTCTTCCTCAAGTCTATATGCATATATACACACATAGTCACAGAACACACAGATAAACACATAAATCACAAATTATTATTCATGTTTCAAGAATTGATTGAGGGTTTTTCTCTTTGTGAAGTCTTCATATTTCAGTTCTTAGTCAAAGCCTATTTGAGCCACCTCTTCCTCTCTGAGTCTCCTGTTCTCTGCACCCTTATTGCCTTTTTTTTTTCTTTGAAACACAGTCTCGCTCTGTCACCCAAGCTGGAGTGTAGTGGTGTGAACTCAGCTTACTGCAACCTCCACCTCCCAGGTTCAAGAGATTCTCATGCCTCAGCTTCCCAAGTAGCTGGGATTACAGGCATGCTGCTGTTATATTTTAATAATTGTAACTAATATGCATATTTATTCGAACCCAGCTCTCTTTACCCTGTTTGTTATTCTTTATTTACCCTTAGTGACCACATTTTCCAAAACCAATGTAGGGACACAGAGCTTAGCAAGTAGAGCAAAGTATTTATTAAGAAAAATGAAACAAGGTTGGGTGCGGTGGCTCATGCCTATAATCCCAGCACTTTGGGAGGCCAAGGTGGGCAGATCACCTGAGATCAGGATGAAGAAAAATGAAACAGGGTTGGGTGCGGTGGCTCATGCCTATAATCCCAGCACTTTGGGAGGCCAAGGTGGGCAGATCACCTGAGATCAGGATGAAACGAGCCTGACCAACATGGTGAAACCCCATCTGTACTGGAAAAAAAAAAAATATGCCAGGTGTGGTGGCAGGCTCCTGTAATCCTAGCTACTTGGGAGGCTGAGGCAGGAGAATTGCTTGAACCCAGGAAGCAGAGGTTGCAGTGAGCACAAGTGCACTCCAGCCTGGGCGACAGAGCAAGACTCCATCTCAAAAATAAAGAAAAGAAGAAGAATGAGACAAAATATATGAAATGGAAATTATCCCTTAATGTTTAGGATGGTCCTAACTGATAGATGGAACTAACATTTGTCTAGAGCTTTCCCTATGCTAAGTGCTGCAAAGTCCATTACCTTAAAATGTATTAAAATCAAGTGGACAATTTATTTTTCAAATTTTCTGCAGTTTAAAAATAATAACTTAAGCCATAACTGAAAAAAAAAAAATTAAGTGTGGCATGGAAACCCTTAAAGATGTGTGTGTTTAATTTTAGGAAGATTTGCAATCAACAAAAGAAGAGAGATTTCCAGCGATCCACAAGTCCATTGCTATTGGCTCTCAGCCAATCCTCACTGTTGGGACAACCCACATATCCAAATTGACAGATGACCAGCTCATAAAAGAGTTTCTTAGTGGTTCTTACTGCTTTCATGGGGTGAGAAGTAAATCTTCCATTTAAATATTTATTTTACAACTTTACCTGCCAGGTATGGTCATTGGTGCATCAACAACACTGAAAAGGATTTTTTTCTATAGAGAAATGACAGGATCCTGTCATCCTCAAAGAACTCAAAAAGTTTTCTTTCTGCAGTCTCATTTCCCCACGTGTCTATAATCTAATCCATAGCTTTTATGTTCTTTATTTCACAAGGTAAAAATTTGACCTTTTCTCTGGCAATCATATGTGATTCTTGTTGATTGCTAGAACGAGCATGTGATTGTATATCCCACATTTTGGTTATGTGGCAATCACATTTCAAACTAGAATTAACATCTCCCTTTAAAAAAAAAAAAATTAGAGACAGGGTGTCACTATGTTACCCAGGCTGATCTCAAACTCCTGGGCTCAAGCAATCATCCTGCCTCAGCCTCCCAAAGTGCTGGGATTACAGGTGTGATCTACTGCACCCAGCCAACATCTCCCTTTACAAAGTTAAAAATTTTGACCCTGACTGTTAGCACCAGTGGGAAATACAGTTACTAAAGGAATTTTTGTTTTATTGTATTTAAAATTTTACCAAGATAGTGCATATTCTCTGTATTTGTCTTTAATTTCTCAGTAATGTTTTATTTTAATATTCAGCCGTACTATTGCTTTTACAGGTTTTAAAAATAGCATGTATTTCTATTACTATCATGTGGCATTATTGAGAGAGGCCCAGTGCTTAACTTGATCTAATATGTTTTCTTTTTTTTAGGGTGTTGGTTGGTGGAAATATGAATTCTGCTATGGCAAACATGTACATCAATACCATGAGGTATAGAATAGCATTTATATGTCATTCTACCACTGGACGGTTTAAAGTTTTAAAAATCTATTGTAGAAAAAAAAGGGGGAATGGTGTAACTTTTAATTATGAGATGATTTTAATATGATTAGTATAATCAAAGTATCTCCAAATTTTGGAAAATAGAACATTTGGCGTTAACCAAATCAGTAACCTTAAAGTGATATTGCTTATTAATTACTTACATGCTTGTATTACTATGAGCCTAGTAGAATAATGAGCTGTTGTGGCTATACCTCTTTAGCTTTGATCAAGAAATTAATCATTCTTATAACTCATCTTTAAATTAAGAAAATGAATTAGCCGGGAGTGGTGCTGCACACTTGTAGTCCTAGCTACTCAGGAGGCTGAGGTGGGAGGATCACTTGAACTTGGGAGGCGGAGGAGGTTGCAGTGAGCCAAGACTGCAACACAGCACTCCAGCCTGGGTGACAGAGTGAGACTCCATCTCAAAAAAATAATTAAGAAAATGAGGCCGGGCACGGTGACTCATACCTATATTCCCAGCACTTTAGGAGGCCAAGGTGGGCTGATCACCTGAGGTCAGGAGTTCAAGACCAGCCTGGCCAACATGGTAAAACCCCATCTCTACTACTAAAAATACAAAAATTATCCAGGTGCATGCCTGTAATTCCAGCTACTCGGGAGGCTGAGGCAGGAGAATCACTGGAACCTGGGAGGCAGAGGTTGCAGTGAGCCGAAATCATGCCACTGCACTCCAGCTTGGGCAACAGAGCGAGACTCTGTCTCAAAAAAGCGAGACTCCTCAAAAAAACAAAAAAGAAAGAAAATAAATGGTAAGATCATACATTATCGCTAGGGTTACAAAAATTGGGTAAATACAGCAAGTTTCTCAGCCAAAAGAATAAGATACCCTGGGCCAGGCATAGTGGCTCATGCCTGTAATCTAAACGCTTTGGGAGGCCAAGGCAGGAGGATCACTTGAGGCCAGGAGTTCAAGACCAGCCTGAGCAAGAGAGCAAAATCCCATCTCTACAAAAAATTTTAAAAATGTTTAAAAAAGAAAATACCATATCATCTAAGTTTAAAATAAGTTTTAAGATTAAACTTTTTGAGTTCTTATTCTTACTTTTATTTATAGTTTTATAACTCAGCATATTTTCCCATACTTGAGCTAGCCTGCTTAAATTCTGAGGTTCAAGTTCCAATTATGTTATTTGTCCTACTTATACTTTGTTTAGTAAAGTAAGCTGCTAGGTATTGAAGACAAGCTTTAATTAATGAGTATGAACCTAGCTGCTTTAAAAGGCCATTTTTATTATCTAAAAAAGAAAGTAATACCCAAAATAGAAAAGTGTGTATTTGCCCACTCGTCATGTTTTGAACTGATCTCAAATTCCAAGATAGATCATACTGGGACAGATTGTCAGTTCACCTTCCACATTTACATCTTCCAAAATGAATGAGACATCCATAGACTAGGATGTGTTGGGTTTGTTTTTTGTTTTGTTTTGTTTTCACTTAAACCTAAGGGGTTTCATTTAGGTATTCTTTCCATTTATTCCTGCTACTTTGCAGATGTTTGTTTTTTTAATAACAGTACAGAAAAAGGGTATCATCAAACTACAACCCTTATAATACCTGATAAGTTTCTTAAAGAAATGTATGCCAGAAATTTTAAATGAGAAGTATCTGTCTCCTCTGCCATCATACCACTTCTTAAAAAAGTTTAACTACTGTTAACATTTTCATTGCCCTCCACCAAAAAAAAAAATGCATATGTATAGATGTTGGTATAACTTTTTTATTTATAGAGAAGGGATCATGCACTGTTCTGCCACTTGTTCTTTTCACTTAGTATCTTGGAGATTGCTCCATGTCAGCAACACTCAATTTCACTCTTTTCAGCAGGTACAGAGGATTATGTCTGTACCACAGTGTATTTAACCAGACCTCTGCTAATGGACGTTTAAGTTGTTTCCAGTTTTTGCTGTGATATGTTTTAGTCAACATTTAAAAATAGTTCTGTTGCTATACTTTTGCAAGTATATTCATAAGGGACATTTCTGTCAACAGACTTCCTTGGTCAAAGTATCTGCATACTGGAAAATTGCCTTCCAGAGTTAGACCAGTTTACACTCCCATAAACAATGGCTACATTCCTATACACTTGCCAACACTAGGTTTTATGAAACTTATTTTAGCCAAGGTTGTATAACCTGGAACTTTCTAGGGAACTGTGTTTGGTATTTAGGGAGATACTAAAAGTAATAGTAACTAGCAAATAGGGTGCTTACTGTATGCCAGGCACTATGTACTTTACACATATTCTTTTAATATTCATAACAACCTTAAGAAGTGGTTGTTATTCCAAGATGAGGAAACAGAAATAAAGGTTCAATAACTTGCCTAAGGTCAAATAGGTAGTAACTGGGGAAACTAGAATTCAGACCCAGGCAGTCTGGCTCCATATCCAACCTCTTAAACACTTCACTTTGCGGCTCTAATTTCGGCCTATCCAGGAACTTATTCTAGTAGCTAAAACCAAATGTTATTAGCTATCTCTTAAATTAGGCACTACGCTCTACTGGGCATTGGCCCTGCTTGTTTTCTTTGCCACCATAGGGGTTTTTTGTTTTGGTTTGGTTTGGTTTGGTTTGAGATGGAGTTTCCCTCTTATTGCTCAGGCTAGAGTGCAATGGCGCAATCTCGGCTCACTGCAACCTCTGCCTCCCGAGTTCGAGTGATTCTCCTGCCTCAGCCTCCCAAGTAGCTGGGATTATGGGCATGTGCCAGCACGCCCGGCTAATTTTGTATTTTTAGTAGAGTAGTTTCTCCATGTTGGTCAGGCCGGTCTTGAACTCCCGACCTTAGGTGATTTCACCCGCCTCAGCCTCCCAATATGCTGGGATTACAGGTGTGAGCCTCCGTGCCCAGCCAAGGGTTTTTAATTCTACTAACCAGATATCTGTTAGTGCCCAGCATGGTTGTCTGGCATACATTGTGAAGAAAGAAATCAAAGGAATGCAAGGAGGTAGGAAGGAAAAGGAAGAAGAAAGAAGGAAGGATGTCCACATATAAGACAGTATGTAGTTAGTGTTTAAAAAAATAATAAAAGCAGGATGGGAAAAGGGGTTTCTGGATAGACAATTTCAATAGAGAAATAAGTATGGTACCAAATGAATAGTGAAAGATCAGTATAACATTGCATAGTATGAAGTTAGGCTGCGGTGGAAGAGATAGAGGCCAAAGATTGATTTAAGAATTGCAGTAGTATGTGATAGTATTATCTAGGTATGAGAGATTAAACCCTTGGTTGTGGGGTGAGTTGCTGTCAGTGAAAAAGTAGAGGAAGAGTCTAAAGCTGAAAAATCTCCAGGAAAGAACTGATGGGACTGATCTGTAGAAGAGAAAAGAGATAGAAGAGCCAATAATAACTACATTTAGAGCTAGCCTGACTAGAAATTAGTTACGTTGTTCAGAGAAGCAAGGAATAAAGAAGATAATGTACTTAAATTTCCACTCATTGAATTCGACTAGTATCATTACACCTAAATATAGATCCACTGTGCAGATAAAGACTAGCCTACAAGAAGGTCAGGTCATCAGCATAAATATCTACTTGATGATATCAAGCATGCATTATCACAAATATTTTTTCCTGTGTTAGGACAAGGACAGTGGGAAAACCTCTGTGGTTGTCGGGACATGGAACCAAGAAGAGCATATTGAATGGGCTAAGAAGAATACTGCTAGAGCTTATCATCTTCAAGATGATGGTACCCAGACAGTCAGGTAAAGATTCACTTTACTTGCCTTTGTAGCTAATTAGTAGAATTTCTAAAACTCAAAATATTGAAAAACAAAAAAATTCAAACATTTAAGTAAAATCCCTGGTTAGTTTTTTTCAAGGGACATCTTTTAGGTTAGTTTTCTTTTCTTGGGGAAGCAACACAGTGTAATAGTTCAGAGCACAGTCCTTGGAGTCACACTACCTGGATTCAAATGCTGGCTCATCACTTCCTACCTTGGAGAAATGACATAATCTTTTTTTCTGTCACTTTTGGTGTCTAATGGTATTTGCCTCTTACAATTATTGTGTCATTTAAGAGGTAATTTATGTAAAGGAGAATGCCTGACAATAGCATGCAATAAACCTGGGTTGCTGCCTTTAACAATGGGGGTAGTACACTAATGAGAGTGGTAGTGGTGTTAGTAACAATGACTCAATTCTATTAGAACTGAGGCTATTTTTTAAAAACTACCTCACATCTGTTTTAGGATATATGAGTATATCTTGTCAAAACACCAGTAAGTTAATCTCATTTCCCAAGAATAACTACACTTTAGCTTTTCTTGTAGACTTTTACTCAGTATGTTTTAAATTATTCTTTCTTGTTCCTTCTTGGGTATTACCTTTTCCTTCCTAAAACAGATGATTTGGATTGTTTTCAGAGTGTACTGACTTTTTGGGCTGATCAGAGTCAAAGTCAGCAAAATTAAAACATAGACATTTAATTATTATACTAAACAGATTGATTTATCTTATCCTTGTAGGTATATGTTTTATGTGAAAACAGTTGTGGTATCATGTACAATATATGTTGAAGCATGAGTGTTAGACTGGTAAAATGAAGCTTTTCTTTGGATCCTGCTCATTTGAGATTGACAGTTTGGCCTAGGCTTTGTCTCCTATACTACAGTGCCTAACGTACAGTATTTTAATGGGAGTAGCTTGATGGAGGACGGAAGCAAAGAACTGTTTCACAAAACAATATAGTGGGCTAGGGAAACTGATAACTTTAAAACAATTTTTTAAAGGGATCTAACCATAATTATTTGTATACAAATAAATAATATGCAAGCTGAAAATAATCATTATTAACTAAGCCAGTATGAAGTTTCTCTCTCTTATATTCTCTTTATAGAATCCAAGAGACTGCCTCTGTGAGATAACCCTAAAAATACTCTTTTAAAGAATATAGTCAGGTTTATTTTTTAGCTAATGTTAAACTGATCCCTCTAACCATCTTCTCACCTTACCCATTACAATTATTCTATTAGTGAGATTTTAGTTTAATAAAACTTGTGTGTTTCTCTGATTCAGGATGGTGTCACATTTTTATGGAAATGGAGATATTTGTGATATAACTGACAAACCAAGACAGGTGACTGTAAAACTAAAGTAAGTTAGACCATCAAATCATGCTATATGCCTTTTTCTTTTACCTGCTTCCTATGGACAAAAGTTTTATGTAAACAAAAAGTATAATTATGAATAATTACGAAAGTATACTATTTAAATTATTGATAAAATTGTATTAAATCATACAGGGTCCACTTGAATGGGATTTTTAAGAGTACAGCTATTAGCAGTGATCTCACTTTAAATGATTTGGGCAATACCTTAAAGTTCTCTCTGTTTTAGGTGTAAAGAATCAGATTCGCCTCACGCTGTTACTGTATATATGCTAGAGCCTCACTCCTGTCAATATATTCTTGGGGTAAGTTAAAAAGAAAATAATCAAAAATTCAATTTTGAGCCTTGTGTTAATTTTTCTTTGTTTTCTTTTTTTTTTTTTTCTTTTTGAGACAGAGTCTTGCTCTGTGGCTCAGGCTGGAGTGCAGTGGCACAATCTCGGCTCACTGCAACCTCTGCCTCCTGGATTCAAGCGATTCTTCTGCCTCAGCCCCCCGTGTAGCTGGGATTACAGGCACGCACCACCACGTCCAGCTAATTTTTGTATTTTTAGTAGAGACGGGGTTTCACCATGTTGGCCAGGCTGGTCTCAAACTCCTGACTTCTGGTTATCCACCCACCTCAGCCTCCCAAAATGCTGGGATTACAGGTGTGAGCCACTGCGCTCGGCCGCCATGTTTTAATTTTTTGCATTAAATTTAGGCAGGACCTTCAGTAGTCTCCAAGGCTTAATATGGTCCACATACCACTTGTGTAGTAGTTGACATGGTTTTTTGTGACATTATTTATTGAGAGATAATTTACATGAAATAAAATCCACAGATATTAAGTGTTGAGCGTGAAAAGTTTTGACAATTATATATACCCATGTAACTATCACCCAAAACAAGATATGTCACTGCAGAAAGTTCTCTCATACTCCCTTCCAGTAAACACCATTTAGCCTTGCTCAAAGATACTCCTTTCTGATTTATGACATTGTAGATTAGTTTTGTCTCTTTTTTGGATTCCACATGAATGGAATCATATAGTATATAATATTTTTGTGCCTGAAGTCTTTGACTAAGTGTAACACTTTTTGTTTGGTGTTGTGTTGTTTATTTTTTTTTTCTATTGATACATAGTATTTGTATATGTTTATGGGTTACATATGATACTTTGTTACATCCATAGAAGGTGTAGTGATCCAGTCAGGGTATTCAGAATATTCATCACCACAAGCATTTATTATTTCTATGTGTTGAGAACATCTCAGGTCCTCACTTCTCAACACGTCTTAACAGAGGTCTCGATATTAACTTTGTATTTGTATTGCACATATTTTTTTCTCTGTCTGTGGCTTGCCTATTCATTTTTCTTTCTTTTTTTTTTTTAAAATACAGATAGAGTCTTGCCATATTGGCCATGTGGGTCTCAAACTCCTAGACTCAAGCGATCCTCCCACCTTGGCCTCCCAAAGTGCTGGGATTATAGGCTCAGCCACCACACAGGCTGGAATGCAGTGGTGCAATCTTGGCTCACTGCAGTCTCTGCCTTCCAAGTTTAAGCAATTCTTGTGCCTCAGCCTTCCAGGTAGCTGGGACTACAAGCATGCACCACCATGCCTGGCTGATTTTGGGGTTTTGGTTTTTTTTTTTTGAAATGGAGTCTCACTCTGTCACCCAGGCTGGAGTGCAGTGGCACGATCTCGGCTCACCACAACCTCCATCCGCCTCCTGGGTTCAAGCAATTGTCCTGCCTCTGCCTCCCCAGTAGCTGGGATTACAGGCATATAGTACCACATGCGGCTAATTTTTGTATTTTTAGTAGAGACAGGGTTTCACCTTGTTGGCCAGGCTAGTCTCCAACTCCTCACCTCAGGTGATCTGCCCGCCTCGGCCTCCCAAATTGCTGGGATTACAGTGTGAGCCACTTGCACCCAGCCCCATTTTCTTACTAATGTCTTTTGGTGACCAAAAATTTTTTATTTCATGAAATTCAATTTATCATTTATTCCTCTTTAATAGCGAACACTTTCTGTGTTCTAAGAAATTTTTACAGGCTGGGCGCGGTGGCTCACGCCTGTAATCCCAGCACTTTGGGAGGCCAAGGCGGGCAGATCACGAGGTCAGGAGATCGAGACCATCCTGGCTAACATGGTGAAACCCCGTCTCTACTAAAAATACAAAAAAATTAGCCGGGTGCGGTGGCGGGCACCTGTAGTCCCAGCTACTTGGGAGGCTGAGCCAGGAGAATGGCGTGAACCCGGGAGGCAGAGCTTGCAGTGAGCCAAAATTGCGCCACTGCCCTCCAGCCTGGGCAACAGAGCAAGACTCCATCTCAAAAAAAAAAAAAAAAAAAAATTTTTACTACCCCAAAATCATGAAAATGTTCTCCTATATTTCCTTCTAAAGACTATGGTTCTACCTTTGATTATCTAATGCTTAAATGTGGTTTTCTCTGTATTTATCTTGCTTGGAGTTCACTGAGCTTCTTGGATTTGTGGGTTGATATATTTCATCAATTTGGGGAAATTTTTGGACATTATCTCCTCAAAGATTTATTCTGCTCTATTCTTTTTCTCCTCTATTTCTGACACTCCAGTAAGACATATTAGTATAAAATTGTCCCAAAATCTCAGACACTCCTTTATTCACACTTTTCTTCCTTTGTTTCAATTTGGGTCATTTCTATTAAGCTGTCTTCAAACTTGTTAATTCCTCTGCCGTGTCCAGTCCAGTGAATGAATTTATCACTGACGTATTTTTTATCTCTTAACATTTCTACTTGGTTCTTTTTGTTTGTTTGTTTTTTATTTCTTTCTCTTTTTTTTGAGATGGAGTCTTGCTCTGTCGCCTAGGCTGGAGTGCAGTGGCACAATCTTGGCTCACTGCAACCTCTGCCTCCTGGGTTCAAGGGATTGTCCTGCCTCAGCCTCCCTGGTAGCTGGGACTACAGGCGTGTGCCACCACGCCCAGCTAATTTTTTGTATTTTTAGTAGAGATGAGGTTTCACTGTGTTAGCCAGGATGGTCTCGATCTTCTGACTTCATGATCCGCCCGCCTCGGCCTCCCAAAGTGCTGGGATTACAGGTGTGAGCCACCGTGCCCAGCCTCCACTTGGTTCTTTTTTATCTCTGCTGAAATTTCCTATCTGGTCGTGCATGTTTTCTTCATCATGTTTATTATAATTATTATAACATCTGATAATTTCAACATGTATTCCATTTTGGGTTACATTTTTCTTTACCTTTTATTTTAAATGCACTTAATTATTTTGCCATAATGTTCTATCATTTTTGTTGTCTAAAATCTAGCTATGTATTTCTGTCTTATTCCTGTCCTTTGTTCCTTTTCCCTCCCTGCTTGTTTAAAAATATGTTCTCCACCTGTCTGATATTCTGTATGGATGACTAAAAGTTGTTTTTCAAGAAGCTTAATTTGTAGAAATAATGTTGGATGTTTATCTAAAACAAGGACTCATGCTTCTAGCAGCTATAACTACATGTATCCATTCAGCAGAATAGTACTGAAAAGTATTCAGCTTAGCAACTTTTTAATGGCTTTGTTCTTCTTCTTTAGGTTGAATCTCCAGTGATCTGTAAAATCTTAGATACAGCAGATGAAAATGGACTTCTTTCTCTCCCCAACTAAAGGATATTCAAGTTAGGGGAAAGAAAAGATCATTGAAAGCCATGATAATTTCTGTCCGACCGTGTCTCATTATAGAGTTCTCAGCCATTGGACCTCTTCTAAAAGATCGTATAAAATGACTCTCAAACACTTTGTGAATATATATGTGTATATAAGAGGTTATTGATAAACTTCTAAGGCAGACATTTGGCTCGCTTTTTTTCATTTTTATTGTGTCTTATAAACTGATTGTTTTTCTTTGCTTGGATACTGTGATTCCAAAATAAATCTCATCCAAGCAAGTTAGAGTCCAGCCTAATCAAATGTCATAATTGTTGTACCTATTGAAAGTTTTTAAATAATAGATTTATTATGTAAATTATAATGTATATAACTAGCTAATGAAGTAAAATTCATGAAGAAAGAAATTGATAGGTTTAAATGAGAGACCATGTAAAATATGTAAATTCTAGTGCCTGAAATCCTTTCAACAGATTTTTATATAGCGACTGCTCTCTGCAAGGTGTTAAAGTAGAAACTGGGCACATGGTAGAGGCTCACATGGGAGTTGTCCTCACCCTTGTTAATCTTAAGAAACTCTTATTTATAATAGGTTGCTTCTCTCTCAGAACTTTTATCTATTTTTTCTTCTTATGAGTATGTTTACTCTCAGAGTATCTATCTGATGTAGACAGTTGGTGATGCTTCTCTGAGACTCAGAATGGTTTGCTCTAACAAAACACTGTGCTGTATATCCCTTGTACTTGCCTACTGTAATATAGATTTCACTTCTGAACAGTTTACAGCACAATATTTATTTTAAAGTGAATAAAATGTCCACAAGCAGTGTTGTCATGTAGTCAATGGCAGATTATGAAATTCCTTTATTTTTTCCATTATCCTGTTGTACACATTTTAAACATACATATCTGAACAAGAACAGAAAAGGGTCATAAGAGTCTTTTCCTCCTTTTCAGTAGTTCTGGCCAAAGATAGTTTAAGAAAAGGCTAATATAATTGACTATTTTAGGGTTATTTATAGATTTTAGTAGGAAGCAGCACATAGAGAAAGAGCATGAACTTTGAATTCAGACCTAGGTCAAAATCCTTTTTTTCTTCTCTCTCTCTATCCAGAGATGGGGCTGCTCAGGCTGCTCTGAACCCCTGGGCTCAAGCAGTTTTCCCACCTCAGCCTCCCGGATAGCTGGGACTACCAGGCACACGCCAACAAGACCAGTGCAAAATCCTCTCTTTAACTTACTGTGTACAAGAGAGGAAAAACCAAACACACCCAATACAGCACAGAACACTAGGTCACCAAAATGTGTGGTTTTACTTCTTCACGCCAACCAATTTTCTGACACCAGTTGGGTGTCCTACAGTTCAGTTCAGTTCTGACACTCGTCTACTTGGAGTTGACATCAGACCCACAAGTAAAGGACTCAGTTGCACAAGACTGCTTCCACTTACTTCAGATGCCAATTGCAAGTCTGGGCATCTAGTACTTTTGACCAATCAGCTATAAATCGGGTTCCATGACTCCCTTTTTGGGTTTAATAATTTGCTAGAACGCCTCACAGAATTAAAGGAAACACTTCACTTATGTTTACCAGTTTATCATAAAGGATACAATTCAGGGACGGCCAGATGGAAGAGCTGCATAAGGCAAGTTATGGCAGGGTGGGAGGCAAGGGGGTGCCTGCAGACCTTCTAGGCTTCCTCTGGGCATGCCACTCCCCCAACACTAGATTCGGGAACCTGGAAGCTCATCAGATCCCAAGAGTTAGAGAGTTTGATTTTCAGACCCCCCTCCCTCTTTCCTTCCCCGAGGTCAATAGGTGGGTCTGAAAGTTCCAACCGGCTAATCAGTCATTTGGTCTTTGTAGTAAGCCATGATAATCGGGATGTAGTAAGCCACATCCTGAGGCTATCTATCTAGGGGCTCCGCCTAAGTAACCTCATTAACATAAACTATCCAGCACAAATTCTATCCAGATAGCAATAGGGTGACCAAAAAGGGCTCCTTACAAGTAAGCCATTCCCATCACTTGGGAAGTTCCTAGGGTTTTAGGAGCTCTGTGTTAAGAACCTGAGACAAACACCAAATTTCTTATTATAACACATACTAGCTATGTGATCCTAGACATGTCAGTGAACGTCATTTAGTCTCTCTTCCTCTTTTGTGAAGAGAATACTTACTTCATAAAGTGGTTATATCAGTGCATGAATTTTACTGTGTGTAAAAAGTCTTGTCCAGTACTTGATACCAGTATGTGTTAACTTCCTTTTATTGGCGTTTGTCTCCTGTTAACATAAGAAGATCAAAGCCATTAAAATACTTTTTCTTGAGATGGAGTCTCGCTCTGACGACCAGGCTGGAGTGTAGGGGCACAATCTCAGCTCACCACAACCTCTGCCTCCTGGGTTCAAGCGATTCCCTTGTCTCGGCCTGCTGCGTAGCTGGGATTACAGGCGTATGCCACCATGCCCGGCTAGTTTTTGTATTTTTGTATAGACGGGGTTTTGCCATGTTGGCCAGACTGGTCTCAAACCCCTGACCTCAAGTAATCTGCCTTCCTTGGCCTCCCATAAGTGCTGGGATTACAGGCGTGAGCCATCACACCAGGCCAAAATTCATTTCTTTAATGAATTACAGAATCATTATATCAATTAGTTAAAATAACATAACTACCCTCATATTTAGTATAGGTGATAGGGGAGGGAGTTAATTAGTTCAGTGCCAGAAGAGACGTTGAGAATATATAGAACAAATTCTGTCTTAGAAGAGGGGGAAAAATCATCTTTTAAAAACTACTGGAATAGTTTACTAGGGAAGAGTCTCTAAAACAGAATTCATTATTTTAAAATGAAAAAGATTTTATATGAATGAGTCAGGCTTCTAGTTGAGTACATGCCTAGCTACTCAGTAGGCTGACACGAGGATGGCTTGAGCCCAGGAGTTAAAGACTGTAGTGCACAATGGCACCTGTGAATAGCCACTGCACTCCAGACTGGGTGACATGGCAAGACCCAGTCTCAACAAAAAAATAGTTCTCTGTCTTAACTAACACAGCTCAAACTTCTTTGAGGGTAGGTGCTAGTCCAGGTATCTCCATATCTGTTTTAAATCTTGAGTCCCCTATCAGTATATCAGTAGTCTTTGAAATCTCATTTGCTCTCCAGTTTACTTGCTACTAACTCTGTGATACAATCATTCTGTATAAGCAGGCTGAATTGCTAATAGGGAAGGGAAATGGCTCAGCTATAATGTGTCTAATGCATTTTGAGAAGTCTATCTTGTCTCTATTAAAGCCAGTGCTATCCCACACCTAAATCAGATTTTTTTTTTTTTTTTTTTTTTTTTTTTTGAGACGGAGTCTCGCTCTGTCACCCAGGCTGGAGTACAGAGCCACCACACCCAGCTAATTTTTGTATTTTCAGTAGAGACAGGGTTTAACCGTATACGTTGGGCTGGTCTCGAACTCCTGACCTCATGATCCGCTCACCTCAGCCTCCCAAAGCGCTGGGATTACAGGCGTGAGCCACTGCTCCCAGCCAACCAGATTCTTAAGACAGGGCCTAAGAATCTGTATTTTAAATAAACATAGCAAGTGATTCTCTTGGTTAAATAAATTCTCCAGTGATTGAGAATTGTTGATGGGGACTTCACTAATTACTAGCCCTCCTGTCTCCAGGTGAGGGTTTCAGGGAAATAATTAGTAGTTCATCTTTACAAGAACAATGTGACATGGAAACTGTTGTTGGGGTTTTGTTTTGGGTATTTTTTTTTCCTGCTTTTTAAAATTTTACCTCTTTTCTTTGAGAGGCTACTAGGTGAGGCTTATAGCCCAGCCCTAGTTTGTTTATTTGTTTGTTTGTTTGTTTACTTGCTTATTTGAGAGATGGTCTCACTCTGTTGCCCAGGCTGGAATGCAGTGGCATGGTTATGGCTCACTGCAGCCTTGACCTCTTGGGCTCAAGGGATCCTCCTGCCTCTGCTCCTGAGTAGTGGGACTACAGGCATGCACCAACACACTTGGCTCATTTTTAAACTTTTGTAGAGACAAGATCTCCCTATGTTGCCCAGGCTGGTCTCAAACTTTTGAGCTCAAGCGATCCTACCGCCTTGGCCTCCCAAACTGCTGGGATTATAGGGGTGAGCCTCTGCACTGGCCCCTAGTTTATAATCCTTGATTAAAGGGACATTGGCAACAAACTGTCTCAAAATTGAATAGTTATGCTTTGTGTACTGTCCCCCGTGAGCTATCCCTTTCAATCAGTCTGCTACCCAAAGACCTAACCTGGTTTCTGACAATACTTAAGTACATAAACTTTATGTAGTTAAACCTAGCACATAATCAGGCCAAATTATTGACCCAGCAGCACCAAAGATCTAGCATGAAAGGACTTAAGCTAAACAAGAAAATAAAGCTAAGACTAAATTTTGAATAATTATGTTTTGCAATCAGAGCTTCAAATGAAAATACATATCAGCTTCCCTAGAATGATTTTATTTTTTATTTGATGCTATTTTTAGAAGCGGTGTCTTACTCTTTTGCACAGGCTGGAGTGCAGTGGTGCAATCCCAGCTGACTACAGCTTCAAACTCCTGTGCTCAAGCAATCTTCCAGCCTCACCTTCCCAAGTACTTGGGACTACAGGTGTGCACCACCACGCTGGACTCCTAGAATGATTTCAAACTCTTCCTAGTGTTGGGCGATTTTATTACCAGTGCCTGCCATGATAGCACAGCTTAGAAGACAATCCATCTCTTTTTTTTTTTTTTTTTTGTCGTTGTTGTTGACCTACTTCATTTCTGACCTGGGCTGATTCACCCTTCTTGAGCAATCTGGTGGTCCCCGGCTCCCAGGAGGTCACCATATTGAAGCCAGCCTTCATGCAGACCACCCCATTGCCATAGCACACTAAGGCCCAGAACTCATGGGCTCAAGCCACCCTCCAGCTGCAGCCTCTTGGGAACTCAAGATGGGCGTCACCATGCTGGCTCTCTTTTTCTCACTTGTTTAGCAGGGGAGGTAAGGAACCCATTGCACACTCAAGAGCATGTTTTACCTCTTATGCTGATAGTCTCAAAAGTGGTTTCAGCAAGCAGGCAAGATGATGCAGTGGGTTGTAGGAAGAACATATTCGGAATTCTATTAGTTTTTAATCTGTGAAAGATGTTAAGCCTCACTAATATATAATATGTGGTACACACAGTAATTCATGAATCAGAAAGTCTTATGTCATAAACAAAACATCCTAAGAGTTAGTGTTACATGTTTGGAGGAATTGATGGGATACCCTTCTTTATTTTTCACTTTCATCCTGTTACAGGATCATAGACTAAAGTAATTACCTTTCAGAAAATGGAATTGTTACTCTAAATGTAACCATTAAGATCATACCTTGTCCGGGCGTGATGGCTCACGCCTGTAATCCCAGCACTTTGGGAAGCCAAAGCAGGCCGATTACTTGAGGTCAGGAGTTCGAGATCAGCTTGGCCAACATAGTGAAACACCGTCTCTGCTAATACAAAAATTAGCCAGGAATGGTGGCGCACGCCTGTAGTCCCAGCTACTCGGGGCTGAGGCAGGAGAATCACTTGAACCTCAGAGGCAGAGGTTGCAGTGAGCCGATATCGCACTGCACTCCAGCCTGGGCAACAGAGTGAGTGAGACTCCATCTCCAAAAAAAAACGAAAAGATTTTACCTTATTAGGTAGATAACCAATCAGAATTATGATGTGGAGGTTAAAAGGTGACTTTCACCAGCCATGGTTATAATCACTGAGGTTCTTGGATCTTGCAAGACTTCTCTTTTAGAAATAATAGAGGAATGCCTTCTGCAGGAGACAGT